CAGGAATGTGTACCATTTCATGTCTCAACGTATAATATTTCTGTATACTTCCACTTCATTGTGGAAGAGGTCCTGGGCCACGGGAGAGGAGTTTGCTTTTAGGGGCTTGAGCTGCATGTGGGCCCTCAGCACCTGTACTAAACCCGTGTTTCTTGCAGTTCAAGCAAGCTGTCTACAAACAGACGATGAAGCTCTTTGCTGAACTGGAAATCAAAAGGAAAGAAAGAGAAGCAAAAGAGATGCATGAAAGGTAGGTTGGTTGGTTAGTTTTTGCTTGTGCAGCTGTAAGTTTTGGTGATTAGGTTAGGGGTGCATTGCCCTGTGAGGAAGTGCTTGGATGAAAGAGCTCTTGTATAGCTTAGCTTGATCCATGCATTATGCTAATATATGCAAGTTAAGTATAAATGGCTGGTAAGTCATTGGCAGGTACACTGAATGGGCTAAGAGGTAGAGCAAGTTCTCACCCCTGCTTCCCATCAGATGCAGGGGAAGTGGATGGGGGCTATATTATCTGATCCACCCTAGCAAAAATTGGGCAATATGAAATCTCTTATCATTGCTTTGAACATGCATAGTGGGTGCGTTCAGACGCAGCCTTTACAACGGATTCTGTGCCGGTTGCAATCGATGTACCTACCGGCGTTCAGACGGGGAACATCTGTCTTCCCACTCTATCCGTTATAAAGAGCTGTACACCGTTGCACTCTGCCACTAGGTCCCTAGTGGTGGTAAACTCAGTGCAACGGTGGCTTCCGATGCAAACCGGCGTCTGATCGCTCTCCACCGGTGCCTAGCCACTTCCGTCGGAAGCCTGAGGCTTCCGGCTTTCCCCTGCCATTTTAAAAAAGACTCCTAGCGGTATGCGCTTGGGCGAAGCTTTGCCCTAAGCGGTTTTTTTTGTTTGTTTTTTTTAAAGCCCTTACTGCAGCATTTCGGAGGCGTCGGGGACCTCCGGGAGGCTACTGTGCTCTTTAAACTTTAAAGGTAAGTCCTTACCTTTAAAGTTTAAATCTACTGGGGGGGGGGGGTTGAGCATGCGCAAAAATCGCCATTCTCTGAATGGCTGTCTATGCGCATGCTCAAACTGCTTTAAAAATTTTAAAAAACGCCGACGCCCGCAGCATGTGAGCGGGCGTCCAACGGAGGGATCCGGAAGATGGAGGGTGAATCTGATCGCGTTTCTGCCGGCAGAAAGCCCCCGTCTGAACGCACCCCTTGTGTGTTAGAGGTATGCATTCAGTTTACCCGAAAAAATACCAGTATACTTCGGGTGTTTTTAAACTGAAAAGAAATTAGGAGTTTCTTTTCAGATACTGATATAGCTGAGCCCGGATAAAAGCCGAATACTATCAGCTTTTATTCAGGCGCAGCTTGGAGAAGGCATTGAAAGAGACTGCTGTCTCTTTAAGTGCCTTCTTCACTCACTGAGTCATGCTGCCACTGTGGCAGCAGCATGGCTTGGAGAAGAGACTCTCTTTAAATGCCTTCTTTAAGCTGCAGTGGCAGCGCAACTCAACAAGTAAACTCAGAAGTCATTTAAAGAGACTGTGGGCTCTTTAAATGCCTCCCCCCTCCATTGAAAGCAAACCTTCTTTGGGGGTCAATAGACTTGGAACCCCTGGTCCAATCTTTTTAAAACTTGAGAGGTTTTTTAGGAGATGTACCAGCAGCTATGCTGCAAATTTGGCCCTCTACCTCAAAAAACAGCCTCTCCCCGAGCCCCAAATACCCCTGGAACGATTCTCCAATGGTCCCCATAGCGTATAATGAAGCCAAAAAAATTCAGGTTTCCCGAATATTTCCTGAATCCAAATATCGTACCAGTATTGGGAATCAGGAATATTGGGAAATACTGGGATTTTTTTGGTTCAGTATACCCGAACTAAAAAAATACCATTTTGTGGGGGGGGGGGGGGGGGGGGTTGCACACCCCTCGTGTGTGTTTGACCAGTGTTGTAGACTAAGAGATCCAATATCATTATTTACTTTCCTCCTTTGCTTTGAAGTCAGACTTGTTGTTTTATCAGGGAGCCCCTCCTCTAGGTGTCTCTCTGAGGAGTTTTATCCTATGGCCCACCACATTTCCACACAGTGGCCCAGTGACTGGTGCCTGTCTCAGATATGCTAGATTTCGGGTCTTGAGTCCAAACTATTATTATTCAGTGGTTGTTCAGTTGGGTTTTAGGTGAAAAAGGGGCAGGTCTCTTGTTGGCAATCATACCAAAAAAAGTATTTTGTTAGAAAACAGTGGGAAATGGGTGTCCTTCATCCAAGCTTCTGCACGCAAATCATTCAGGGCCCTATAGTAATGTTTGCTGTATTTAATGGGCTTCCTGTCCTCAAATGTTGAGACATTTAATATGGCAATAGAGAAGATGCTGCTTCTGTTTCCAAGGCACACAATCAAAATTGGAAGGTGGGAGGAAGTTTGGATATGGTGGGGAAGTATCACATTACATGAAGATCTGTTCTCCCAATTCTTCCTGTCTCTTTTCATTAAGGGGGACAGCTAATTAATCTCCTGAATTTTTTTCCTATCTCCCTTGCAGGGGCCGCAGCTGATCCTTAAAACCAGCCCTTGGCTAAGCTTAGGTGTCTAGCGTTCTGCATCCCTCAGTCCCGTTTTGTTCTCGGGGAAGGTAATGTTAACGTTTCTTCCCTGGCTTCTGTTCTAGGAAGCGGCAGAGAGAAGAGGAGATCGAGGCACAAGAGAAAGCCAAGCGTGAGCGAGAGTGGCAGAAGAACTTCGAGGTAATTGGTCCCATGCGGCTCTGCCAGTTCTGTCCAACCCACCTTGATAGTTTAAGGCTCAAATTCTAAAGCTCGCTTCGCTAGAGAGCAAATCACATTAAAGTCAATGGGGTTCCTTCTGCTTTCTTATTATACTTAGGAGACTGATCGGCCTATAATTAACAGGGTCCGCTCTGTTCCCTTTCTTGTAAATAGGCACTATTATTGCCACCCCCCAGTCTTTAGGAATTCTACCAGTTCTATCTATAGTTGTAAATAAAGTAGCAAGAACTGGAACCCACCACTCAAGGTTCCTCTTAATCAGGTCTGCACATATGAGATCAGAGTCTGGGGCTTTATTGGAACTCAAGGTCTGTATAAGATTCTTAATTTCTTGAGGATGCACAGGGGGCCAAGACGGTAAAATACCTATATCCAGGTCCTCTGTTGCAGCCTCATCCTGGCCTTGGTAGAGCTGCTCAAAATATTTCTCCCAAATTTCAGGGAGAATTGTATTACTGCACACTGAGGGAGATCTAGTAGTACAGTTGGAGACCAAATTCCAAAATAAACAGGGATTTTTATCTCTACATGCTGAGCTTAGTTACTCCAGAGTTCCTTCTGATTAAATAAGCTTGGGATGTCTCCGCAAAGCATTCCCCAGCAATTTTGACTAAGTATCTTCTCCAGATAGGCCTTCTGGAGGTCTACAAAGATCTTTCTGTGGCTTCTTTTATTTTTGATCCCTGTGAGCATGTACTTTACATGGAAGGATGTGAAGCAGTCTTTATTTACCCTGCAGCTTCTCTGCCCAGATATCAAGGCCTTTTCCCAGCTCTGCTGCCTAAGATGTAAGGAACTGAAACTAGAACATTGTGCTTGCAAAGCATGTGTTCCATTACTGACCTTTGGCTCTACCCAGGCATGTTTTGGAGCATTCTTGAATAAGCAGGATTTTTTCTGGTCAGTAGAAGCGAAGAACGTTTAAGGGTGCCTTACACCAAGTCAGACTATTCATCTATCTGGCTCGATCTTGTCTGCTCTGACTGGTGTCACAGATGGAAGTTTTTCCCAGTCCTGTTACCCTGTGAACGCATGAATCTGACTTAGATCAAGTTCAGTATTTAGATAGTGGTCTTTCACATCACCTACTATGGTGGAAAGTGCCATCAAGTCACAGCCGACTTATGGTGACCCTGCAGAATTTTCAAGGCAAGAGATGGTCATTTACCATTGCTTGCCTCCACGTTGTACCCTGGTATTCCTTGGAGGTCTCCTATCGAAATACTAATCAGGGCCAACCCTGCTTAGCTTCTGAGATCTGATGAGGTTGGGCTAGCCTGGGCTACCCAGAACTGGGCACGTCACCGACTACCTGGGTTTTTTTTAAACTGGAGATGCCAGAGACTGAACCTAGGACCATCTCCTTGCCAGCAGATGCACTATCATTGAGCCATAGCCCTTTCCCATTTAACTGAAGATGCCAGAGGATTGTTCCTGGGATGATATATATATACACAAAGTATGTGTACCCTCACTGAAGTCCTTCCTTTAGAATCTTTTCCCAGTGGGAATTGCACTGATTTGACTTGCATGTGTCAAGCTAGCATACCAGAGAGCATGTGCTGTTCTGGCCATCTCTGTGACAGGAGCAGGAAATCTCGGGTATGTTAGATGCCCCAGTTGCAACAGTAGACATCTACAGTTCACATCAGGCAACCTGAGCAACATATCAGAGACTTACCATTCTTGAGTCCCTAAGCAGAAGAGCCCAGAGAACCATTGCTTTCCATATGAGGGGGGGCACTTGTGATTGATGCTTGCTTCAGGAAAGGAAGCTGTGGTAGGGGGTGGCTGGGTTGAAATGAAAAGATTTGGATGAAGTAAGATCAGACTGCAAAGGCCAAGATGACTGCAAAAGGCAGAAGGTTGTAGCAGGAACCTAAACGCTTGGTGTGATCAACTTGGGAGAGGAGACACAGAAGGAAAGCACACGGTTTGTGGTGGTGATGGAAAGTGGCCTGAAGTTGCAGCCAACTTATGGCGACCCCACAGGGTTTTCAGGGCAAGAGACAAACAGGTGGTTTGCCATTGCCTGCCTCTGTGTAGCAACGCTGGACTTCCTTGGTGGTCTCCCATCCAAACACTAGCCAGGGCTGACCCTGCTTAGCTTCCAAGATCTGATAAGATCCAGGTAGCCTGGGTGATCCAGGTCAGGGCAAATGGTTTACAGATGGATGTTCTTGTTTCGTTTTAGCCAGTCTGCCAGTTGTTACTGTAAGGCAGACTGTAAAGTCTGCCACCAACGTCTTTGTGTGCTGACTTGTTTTGTGCTTTGTCTCATATCCTCAGAAAGAATTCTTAAAACAAATTTCCTGTTGGATGAATGCAGGAAATGAAAGCTCAGGTCTCCTAACTCTGGTACATTATTCCGTCTCTTGTCTGCTTGGCATCTAGGAGAGTCGGGATGGCCGCGTCGACAGCTGGAGGAACTTCCAGGCAAATACAAAAGGGAAGAAAGAGAAGAAAAACAGGACCTTTTTGAGGCCCCCGAAAGTGAAGATGGAGCAGCGCGAATGAGCCCGTTTTCTCCCAGGCTTTGAAAGGACTCTCCCGTACCACTGCATTTAAACCCTCCTTGCTTTTCCCGTAGGATCTTTTTGTTTTCCAGTACGATTGAATCTTGGTCAAAGTATTTTTTGTTTTCCTGTACTCTGCCCATTTGCCTGAGGTTCATGGTGTGCTGTCCAGGGCCCAGCTGATCTTAGAACACTTGGCTTACGTAGGAAGACCCTGCCATTAACCGCCCATCACATTTCCCAGTAGTCCTGTAATTTAATGTTCTGTACTTCCGAGAATATTTACTGTATCTGCCTTAATTTGTAGGAAGTGTCCCACTGAGGCAGATGCTACAAGATGGTGTCTTGGTGACCCCCCCACCCCCTTGCTCACTTCGGTCATCGGCTTCTCCTCTACATTGGTCTCCACTTGTCAATAGTGAGGATTTGAGCTTGGAATCAGGTGTACAGCTTGACTTGCAAATCAGCTGCATGGAGCTGAAATTATCCCCTGGCTCTGATTCCTAGCTGGCAACTCCTGTTTTTTAGGACTACAGATTTTGGGGCGGGGGGGGGGTGTCTGGTAAGCTTGATGGGCCAGTCAACTTCTGTAAATAACTAAAACTATTATTTCATTGACTATTCGGTTAGTGGCAATGTTCTGTATGTAAAATAAATTTTTACCCAAAACCTTTTGATCTTGTTTTTCGATCAGTCTGGAGAAACACCGTTCTGACTGTTTGAACTATTTGTGAGCTGCATTAGAGCCAGCATCATGGACATTATGGAGCCAGGCTGCGACTGCCTGACTTTCATGCAGCAAGTGCAGGGGAATCAATAAAAGCTGCTGCCCTGTCAAGGAATGTGGTGTGTTGCACGATGAATGCCTGGCAGTAGAGCTTTAACACATCCACGCCCTCATTTCTGGGAGGCATATGCTAAGTGTGGGGCCGTGTTTCTGCAGCAGACCTGCAGCAGAGATGCAGGACGGCAATAGAAGCTACTTGTGCATTTGGGGGGGGGGGGGCTGGCTCCGCTCTAAAACTCAGCCGTTAGCCTCCTTCACCAACAGGCTGCAGTGCAGAGGTCCCATATTACTGGAATGGGGGGTTTGGGGGGATGCCTTAAAGCAGGCTGAGCAGAGATGGTGCACAGGAGCCCTTTCTTGCCCTCTTGGTCTGGTTGTGTGGGTGGGTGTGTGCGTAAAATGCCTTCAAGTCACAGCCAACTTAATGGCAGCCCCAGCAAAGGGATTTCAAAGCAAGTGAGAAGTAGAGGTGGTTTGCCACTGCCTTCCTCTGCAGTCTTCCTTGGTGGTCTCCCCCTCAAGTACCGAACTGAGATCTGATGAGATCGGGCTATATCATGCTGTCTTTGTTCCTGCTTGGTCTGGTAGAGGGTGGGTTTTAATTTCCCCCTTATAAATCTCAAAAAATGCAAGGCTGACTACTGACATGGAGGAAATAACATCCCAAGTGTGTGTGATGTGTCAACCATATTAAGGCCAAACAGATCTCTACCAGATGCTGGGGGAGGCAGCCAGCTGCAGGGGGAAAGAAGCTCTGTCCTCTGTGTCCCTGCTTTCCAGCCAGCATGGTGTAGTAGTTAAAGTGTCGGATCAGGATCTGGGAAACCCAGGGTTGAATCCCCTTGCTCTGCAGTGGAGGCTTGCTGGGTGACCTTGGGGCCCATCAGACTCTCAGCCTCGCCTACCTCACAGGGTTGTTGAGAGGATAAAATGGAGGAGAGGAGAACGATGCAAGCAGCTTTGGGTCTCCACTGGGAGAAAGGCAGGGTATAAATAATTTTGGTTGGCCCAATGTATGAAACCAGATGCTGGACTAAATGGGTTATTGGTCTGGCCCAGTGGGGCTTCTCTTGTGTTCATGTAACCCTAAGATTGTCAGGTGGCAGAACTAATGATATTTAGTAGTAGTATTATCAGATTCCTTACATTTTGTGAGAATCTCTTGCAGCAATGAAGAGTGAAAAATGCTCCATCCACGGCCTTGGGCTCGCTAACTTGGGTAGAGTAAGGCAACTCTCAGGTTTGGGAACGTACGTGTGAGCTCTCCTCTAGTGTACAGCTCTGCTTACAGAGTCCTGCTCATATTTGTGAGTTGTCACAGCCTGCCAGATCTCTTCCTCTGCTGCTTTTCCAAACCTGTTCAGTTGTGCAATCGCATAAAGCTGCTCTGGAAATCCCATATTGACTGTGCAAACGAAATGACTCAGTGCGTAGGGAGTGCGGTTACAACATTATGGATTTGTACAAAGGCAAGCCCACTCCCCTCCACCCAGCTTCCACAATCCATATATAGCATGTGCTTGGAGAAGTGTCCGAGGGAAACTAAACATCGTTAAGTGCAAACGGTCGCATATGGCTACGTTCCCACCCATTAGAACTCCGGAGGCCCAGATATGGGCTGGTAGGTAGCTGCCAAGACCCCGTGGCCTTAGAAGGACTTGCTGCTTACATAGTGACCATGCTCACCCCTTGTCCTCTCTCTGAAGGGCAGTAGCACATCCCTTTCAAAGGACTCCCCCACACTGCTTTCTTTTGGCAGGGACGCCGTTGCTACAGGTAAAGATTGTGGCTGCTTCCTTCCTTCCCCAGCTGAATAGGCAGCAGGAGTCATTCTAGAGCTGACCCCCATTCAGCTCTGGAACCAGCAGCTGCTCCCCAGAGAAGGCAGATGAGCAAGAGAGGTGGGCGTCGCACAAGCCATTGGCATTTACTCGTTTGCCAGTATGGGTAAGCAAACAGAAATGGTTGACTTAGGGGAATACTTGAAGCTGCCATATATCAAATATGATGCCTTCTCGTTCTGCCCCCTTGGCTATGGCAACTGGCAGCCGATGTTGGATCCAAGTATGCTGGACAGGTGGACCCAGGCTGCCACCTCTTTTGCTGTGTGATGGCAGCTGGTAGTAGGAACAAGAAGGGCTATTAGCTGTAATGGGACCTGGGCATGCTGGAAGAGTTCCTGGCTGCCACCTCTTCTCCTTCAGGCCTTGATGGCAGCGGGTAGCAGGAAAGGGAGGGGCTCTTGGCTGGAGTGTGATCCAGGCATGTGAGAGAGTGGATCCAGGCTGTCTCCTCTGCTCCTTTTGGTCTATGATGGTGGCTGATAAAAGGAAGGAGAAGGGCTGTTAGCTGTAATGGGATCTGGGCGTGCTGGAAGGGTGCCTGGCAGGCCTGTAGCCACAGTGGGGCATTTAGGGGCGGTGCCCCCTCGTGGCTGTTGCCCCACAACTCCTGCTGCCTCTGGCCATACCCTTACCTGCCGGCCGCACTCATTTGCTTTGGCTGCTACAGAAGAAGGAGAGCTGACCAGTGCAATTAATACTTGGCGAGTATGCACTCTGCTGCTCTCCTTCTCCTTTAGCAACCAAAGCCAATGAGTGCAACTGGCAGGTAAGGAAAGACCCTTCTCTTCTTCACCTATCTGCCTGCTGATGGGATCTCTCTCCCTCCCTGCTCCCCTGCCCCCCCCCCGATTTCCCAATGCCCCACCACCCAGAATTTTCTGGCTACGCCCTTGGTGCATGGCTGCCACTTCTTCAGGCCTTGAAGGCAGTAGCTGGGAGGTGGTTGCTCTATAACATCCACATTAATTTTTTTTTTGCAGAAAATTTGCAGAACCTATGTTGTACAGAAATATTTTTTGCAGAAGATTTGTAGAACCTATTTTGTACAGGTCTAAAGTTAAGTTCTAAAATAGAAGAGTCGTTTCCCGTTGGCCTCTAAAAATAAGTTGTCTGTTTACACAATAGATTTACCTTCTTGCCAAAATACCCAGAAACAAAACTACAATTGGTAAAATCAAAGAAGTCATATTTTTACTGTGATCCATGGAAAATGAGATGAAGTTCTCCACCAGGTTCCTGGATCTGTTTAATAGTTAAAGATGTTCATTTTGTAGGCGCTGACGGCTAGAAGATGCTTACTGAAACAGGTACCAATGCAACTAGACAAATGGGGGCTACAAGCTGTTGAGTGCATCTCACCTGCTCAGGAGGGGGCTGGATGATACGATTGGGGGATGGAAAGTGGCCAGTATGAGCAAGAGGCTACTGAGCTTTGCAAGTGTTTGACAAGATAGAGCTTTGGGATGGGGAGGGGTGTTAACACGTGCTGTTTGCTTTTGAGGAAGTGATACTGCTTGAAAGGCAAGTGGTGTCTTGTCCTTCTCCATTTTCCCACAGGGTTCTAGTACAGCTATTCCACACACCCCAACCCCCCACAAACCACAGTTTTCCAGTATACTTTGTAAACCGCTGTAGAGGTGTGTGCGCGTACGTGGGTAGTGCGAAACATACCAAGCTTTCCCAGTTCTGCCTCCTCTGTTTCAAACTGTCCTTTGACACTGCAATGAGAGCCAGGGATAAAATTTACATTGGCTCAATAAAAATGCAGAGACCATTCCCCGGCAGTGCTAAAGCAATTAACACGTACGGGTGTGTGTGTGTGTGTGTGTGTGTGTGGCATCCAAAGAGGCTCACAAAAATTGTCAGTTCAGCATAAGCCTTCACATCCTTAGAGCTCACTGCTTCGGATGTATCCAAAGAAGATGGCTCTAGTCCACAAAAGGGATTGAAAGAGCTAAATCTTGAAGGGGCCATTAGACTCTTTTTTTTTTTTTTTTTTTGCTGTAGCAAACCAAGCAACCAAACAAATTTAGAGTCCTAGCAACCCTTAGCCAGATTTATTCACAGTCCTACTCCCGTCTATTTAGAACAAGGCTTGAGTCCACCGGCATCTTTAAGACCAACAAAGTTTAATTCCGGCCGGGTATAAGCTTTCATGTACATGCACACTCCTTCAGATACATACAAAGTATCTGAAGAAGTGTGTATCTGTATGTATCAGGCAAGAAGTGTATGTATCTGAAGGAGTGTCCCTGCACACGAAAGCTGATACCCAGAAATAAACTTTGTTGGTCTGAAAGGTGCCCGACTGGACTCAAACTTTGTTCTGTTGCTTCAGACCAACATGGCTGCCCACCTGAATCCAGTCTATTTAGTTGGGTTTATTTCCAAGAAAATGAGCTCAGGATTGTGCTGCAACAGAGCTACCCCTCTTATGGGCGGGGTTAGGGAGAGTGACTGGCCCAAGATTTCCCGGTGAGCTTTAGGGATGCCAGCCTCCAGGTGGGACCTGGGGATCCCCTGGAATTACAGCTCCTCTCCAGACTACAGTTCTGGATGCTTTGGAGAGGGCGGACTCTATGGGCATCGTACCCCCACTGAGGTCCCTGTCCTCCCCTGGCTCCACCCACCAAATCCCCAGGAGTTTCCCAACCTGGATGTGGCAGCCCTATGCCCTCTGTTCCCCACCAGTGGCCCTGGAGGACTTGGAAATCCTAGTCAGCTCTATGACTGAGTGGGAATTCGAACCCAGGTCTCCCTAACTGTAATGTAGCACTTTTAGCCCCGATTGGTACACCTTGAGGTTCAGAGCCCTCTCTCTGTTGATATGATATGCGGGCAGGGATATTTCTAAATAAAGCAAATAAAGTCTTTTGCGGGAACTCTTGTCCAGAGGAAACCCAACCCAGAAGTGCTGCCATTGGAATTTCATGCTGCTGGAGGAAGCGAGGAGCACGTAATATTTTTGGCCTCTTGCCTGGAAGGCGAAGCATCTGCCACGGGAAGAGACCGAAGTTTTAGCGCCG